ACACACACAAGGCACTTCCATGGAAGATTCTATCCTAAACAGGGCAAGGGGTTAGATTACAAAGGAACAAACAGGTGAGCGTAGCTCCACCCACGGGGCTGTAGCAAGACACACCCATGCACCAGACATGGACCCTCGAACCCAAGAAGGGTGGGGAAAGCTCTGCCACATTTCTGCGACTGAGCACCTCAGCACCCAGCCGGGGAGTGTGACTCGGTCACGTGTAAGGTTGGTCTCCCACACTGGATCTCTCATTTCCCTGTGGAAGTGCATAGGAGCAGAGCCCCACCGCTCACTGGAACGTGGCCTGTGTGTGGCTTGGGACCATGAGGGTTTCCAGCACTTAGAGCCTGCTGGTCCTTGGTGGGTCCGTTCTTGCTTTGGCGCTGCATCTATGTATTGATCTTGTCAATGCCTGGGTCTGGGGTGGGATATATGGATGCAATCTGGCCGTCAAATCATGCATACATGTTGAAATATCTGTCATTTTTTTAGTAGAAGTGAACCACGGAGGTTTATAACTGAAGCCGGAGGAGTGGAAGATCAACAGTGAGTAGAGCTGGGTAGGGTGTACAGGTGTCCCCCCACCCTACATGTCCTTGGTCTGCTTCTGTGATTTTGAAGTGAATTGCAAATAGAGCTAAGAACGTATCATGTGAAGAAACGTCTGCCTTCCCTGGAAAGAAGTCCTTTGCCCAAGCAGAGAGTGCGGAGCGTGCGTGTAGTCGGTGGATCGTGTGACGATCCCGCTGGTGGGAGGTGACGTATGAGTCAACTTGCAGGTGGATGAAAGGTCTCCATGGTCAACTGTGTCCGGGATTATGTCGGTGCTCTCTCCACTCTTAGGAACAGCACAAATAGGGCAGCACACAACATGAGAACCTGTTAGCTTTGGAAACTGTTGGTAAGAAAGCCTTCCCGCTTTCCCCTTCCTTCTTGTTCCTGGGTGTGAAAGAGAAGATGGATTTAGACAAAGAGGTCCATCTGGATGGCATGATTAGATGCATAAAGGGAAGGAAACAAGTTCAGATGTCCAATGACCTGTACAGTGGGCCTGCCTCCCTGGGTACATGAGGGCTTGCAGCCAGAGTCTGAGTGGGCTTTGGGTGCGCTAGGTCTATGGCAGGGGTCTGTGGCATGTGAGTGGTGGCTGCACCGGCTTGCTCACTACCCTGAAGACCCCTAAGGGCAAGAATGGCACCAGAGAAGCAGGATCAAGGGAAGGATAAGAGAGTGTCTCCATGGAGTCTCTAACCTAGGGTATGTTGGTGATTTGGGGACTAGCAGAAGTTCTTAGAGCTTTGACTGAAAACCTGATATCATTATGGTTTTTTTTTTTTTCTTTTTTCCTGCTTCTGGGAATTGGACCCCAGGACTTTGCTCATGCTAGGTCAACTCTTTACCATGGATCTACACTACCCGATCTACATATTTTAATATTCAAAAAATATTAAATGTGGGCTGAAGTTGTAGCTCAGGGGTAAAGCACTTGCCTTGCACATGTGAGGCCCTGGGTTTTATCCTCAGCACCACATAAAAATAAATAAATAAAATAAAGATATTGTGTCCATCTACAACTAAAAAATAAATACATTTTAAAAATTTATTTTAAAATATTTAATGTATGCAACAAAAAGCTAATGCCTGTTTTCAGGAACTTAGCCAAGTATTTTTATATCCATGAGTGGTGACATAATATCATTATTATCATTATTGCTAAAACAAGGGAATTTTATTCCCCTTTTAACTTTCTAGATTAAATCATGAGGGTTGAGGCTGTAGCTAAGTTGTAGAGCAGTTGCCTAGCATGCATGAGGCCCTGGGTTTGATCTTCAGCACAGCATAAAAATAAACAAATAAAATAAAAGCATTCTGTCCATCTACAACTACAAAAAATTTTTTTTAAAAATTTTAAATCATGAAAATGTCATGTGAAGGGCAAGATGGTAAAGAATGACTCTTGAGGGAGCAATGTCTGTTTGTACTTTGAACTCCTCTGAGCTACAGGCCAATAATGACATAGTGATCTATGACTCAAAGTCCTTCTTAGCAATTTGTCACCCACTAAGAAGTTTATTTTCATATGGAGATCTTGTATTCAGCTAACCTGATGGACTCTTATCTGTCTTAATAATTTTCTCAATAAATTGTTACAGAATTCTCTGATAATTAAATAGTTATAAACAGTGACTGATTTGTTCATATGTCATCATTTTTATTTGTTCTAATTAGTTATAAAAGACAGTAGAATGCATTTTGACACTACATCAATGAAGTGTAACTTCTCATTCATCTGGGTGTACAGATGTAGAAGAATCACACTGGTCGTGTACTCATATAGGTTCCAGGGTAATAGTGTCTGCATCATTCTGCTATCCTTCCTACCTCCATGTGCCTCTCCTCCCTTCACTCCCCACTACCTCATCCAAAGTCCCTCTATTTTCCCTAGCCCCTGCCTTGTTGTGAATTAGCATCTGCATATCAGAGAAAACATTTGGTCTTTGTTTTTTGAGGGATTGGTTCCATAGTTTAGCCATTATGAATTGAGCTGCTATAAACATTGATGTGGCTGTGTCACTATAGTATGCTGATTTGAAGTCCTTTGGGTATATACTGAGGAGTGGGATAGCTGGGTCAAATGGTAGTTCCATTCCAAGTTTTCTTAGGAATCTCCACACTGCTTTCCATAATGGTTGCACCAATTCGCATTCCCACCAGCAATGTATGAGTGTGCCTTTTCCCCCAAATCCTTGCCAGCATTTATTGTTGCTTGTATTCTTGATAATTGCCATTCTGACTGGAGTAAGATAAAATCTTAGAGTAGTTTTGATTGGCATTTCTCTAATTGCTAGAGATGTTGAACACTTTTTCACATATTTGTTGATGATTATATTTCTTCTGCGAAGTGTCTGTTCAGTTCCTTGGCCCATCTATTGATTGGGTTGTTTGTTTTCTGGGGGGGTTGAGTTTTTTACTCTTTATGTACTGCCACTATCATTATTATTTTTTACTCTTTATGTAATGCCACTATCATTATTAGCTAAAAGAAAGTTTTGCATCCCACTGAAACTATATAAGGATGATAGCTGTATGTTTCCAGATATAACCAGCTTTTTATTTTTTTCAATGAGAAGTTTTTCAATGTCACCTGGGTTTATTTTCAAGAGTAAACATTAGAACCATGTCGTCTATTCTTCTACTTTTAAGATCCATGATTCCACTTCTGGGTTCCAGTTCCCCAAGAGGTGTCCCCACCTGTCCCAAAGTCGGTGGGAGTCAGCCCATGTGGCCTCTCTCAGCAGCACACTCCGTTACTCGGAGGACTTGATTTTTTATGATGTATCTCATGCTTTTCCTTCTTCCTGGAAATTGCTTTTCACTTTCTGTTCCTATCAATTTGATTATTATAGATACATTTTCTCTGTGAAATCAAACCGTATTTTCCTCATTGTAACTAGCTTATTGCACTTTGAAAGATGTCCGCCAGATTCATCCACACTGTAGCCTTGGACAGGATTTCTTTGCTTCTAAGGCCCAATAATAATACATCATATGGACAGACCCCATTTTATTTTGTGATTCCCTGTCAGTGGACATTTAGGTGGTTTCTGCTTCCTGTCTATTGTGAATTGTCCCTCTATGCCTGGGGCTTTTCAAGTATTTTTTTCAATTCTTTGGGAAATATACCAGGAAATTGAACTGCTGGATCATATTAAAATTCTATAATCAACTTTGGAGGAACTTCCACACTCTCTTCTTTAGCAACTACCACATTTTAAATTCACATCAACAATGCACAGTTTTCCTCTTTCTCCATATTTTGTAGCCAAAATGTGTAATTCTGTTGTTTTGATAGTAGCCATGCTGATAAGTGTGAAAGGCCTCTGTGAATTGGTATATAAAATGCAGCAAGAGAACTCTGAGAGCAGACTCTCAAAGCATCACCTCACCACCCATGCTAATATCATCGCCCACAGAGCCAAATGTCTTTCAAGGACTCCCAGGGGATTGGATTGTAGAGCTAAGAGAGAAAATTCCTCTACTCACGTGGAGCATGGTGGACCAGTATTGCACAGCAGGTAAGGAGTGTGATCCTGTGGCTAGTGTTCCATTGCGATGGGCCCAAGCGAGACAAGCTTGGGTGGAGGAGTGGGGATTGGCAAAGCCAGGAGGCAGGCAGGCAGTGGGGGTCTCCTCTGTCCACCTGTCAGCTCACTCCCATTGTCTTCTCCAGGAGGGGCCAGGAGCAGTCTTCTTGGCCTCATTGTGGTATAAAGCCCCCAGCTGATAACAGGGGGCTTCCACTTACTGCAAGAATGTTGGAAACTTTTCTCTGTGGTAAACTGCACCTCCAAAGAAAGACTATTCACAGTAAGACCAGCTAAAGAAGTGGTGGAGCAGTTGTTTCCCCCAAGAAAATTCTCCAACGATGGAGGTATTCATTAAACTATGTTTTAAGTTCTTTATGTGGTGAAGAAGGGGGGATAAAAGAGGTTGAGAGAGAGAGAGAGAGAGAGAGGAAATGTCTTGTTCAGAAGGAGCAATGGAAAGAGGTGGGTACATACATGCAGAGGGGATTGAAGAGGAGTCTTCTTGTGCACCTGCTCCCCCGCGGTCAAAGCCCGATACTTTGCATCCCAGGTACCCTGGTCTGTCCTCCCAATGTCAGAACACACCTGGGCCTCTGAACCAAGACAAAGGACAAAGACATAAACATAGAGAAGCACAGAGCCAAACTGTGACTCATTTGCAGAGGCACCTTACTGCCCATATGGAAGGCAGGGCAGAGTTCCCGAGGGTTGTTGTCTTGGGCTCTATCCCAGTTGGAATGGAGGCAGGCGTTGGGATTGACACTGATGGATGGTATCAACCCTCAACAGGAAGGAGGGCTGCAAGCCAGGCTTTGTGACCTGCCACATGCTTCTGTGGGCAGGACCTGTGTGATTGACTAGGTATAAATAGCCCCGGACGCCACAGGCTGCACAGGCTCCTGGGGTGAATACAAATCTCTCATCCTTTGTCAAAGCTCAAAGCAAAGAAAGCACCATGAGACTGTCTGTGTGTGTCCTGCTGGTCACTCTGGCCCTTTGCTGCAAACAAGGTGAGTCTCCATGGTGGTCAGGCCAGCACCAGCCCCTGGTGAGCACCTGTCTCTGAACACTAGATAAAGCTATTGGAGTAGGTGGGGTAAGGAGGAGATCTGAACCACAGCAATGTGCAGAGTTCTTCTGTTTGTGAATTGACTGTTCTAAACTAAGGGGTCCTTTCATTAACTCCTCAACACCTAGAAACTTCTAGAGAAAGTTACTCCAGGCAAATGTTAGGAATTAGAGGCAGACACTCCCTCTTTCCCTGCGATCTGTACTTGGAACACTGCAGAATATCATGAGAGATCTGAGTGGGAATTTAGGCTCTGTCACTGACCAGCCTTCGACCCCGGGCCAGTGCCCACCCTCTCCAAAATGTAGGTGTGTTTATAGAAACCAACCTGAATAGCTAGGAAGATGGGCTGAGATGCTCCACGTCCAGAGTGCCCCTAGAGGGCCAACTCTGTGATCATTAGGTTTGTCCTCAGAGGCGTTTAGGTGCCACTTGAGCCCACAGCTTAGCCCCTGAATGCAGATGCATGAAATGTCCCTGCTAGACAGAGGTGTGGAGGAATCCCAGTCCAAGAAGAAAGAGCCACTGCTCTCTCAACCTCTGAATAATAAGCCTAAAAATGGGCTCTGGGATCAAACAGTGCTTAACGTGACCAGGAGCACCTCTAGCTTTCTCGGAGTCCTTCCGCAGTGTGGCGGCACTGGAGCGTCACTCAGCTATGGTTCCTGGGATGCAGAGGCACCTGCAGCCATTCTGCCAGTGGCACTTCCCATCGCCTCCTCCCCGGAGTGCCGAGGCAGGCTCTCTCCATCCTTCTCTTGTCTCTCACCTGCTGATCCTCCTCTTGTTTCTTTGCCTTGTCTCAGATCCTACCCTCGCCAAATGCTCCCCCTATTGTGCTGTCTGATAGGGGGTCACAAGAAGCCTGGCAGAGCACCTCCTGAGTACAAGGTGGTTGCAAAAATCCTTGGGGGTATGTGGAACTCAGACCAGAAAAACAGGTTCCTCCAGACTTCCAAGAGTCCCCCACACCCTCTGCATTCCGGACATCACTGCAGAACTGGGGACAATCACTAGTTTTTTGCTTTTTAAGATCAAATGGATGATCTCTCTTATGATTTCAGCTTTTTAGCATTAATCGTGCCCAATAGCATAATTAAATTCATCCAACACAATCTCCAAATATCACCTTTCACATTTTAATAATTTCATTTATTTTATTTTTAAAAATTTTTTAATATTTATTTTTTAATATTCATTTTTTAGTTTTTGGCGGAAACAACATCTTTGTTTGTGGTGCTGAGGATCGAACTCAGGCCGCACGCATGCCAGGCGAGCGTGCTACCGCTTGAGCCACATCCCCAGCCCCACATTTTAACAATTTTAATTACTCTTCTCCAGTTTTCTGATCTTTGATAAGATTCTGACTTCCCCATGCACCTCAAATTGTATGATTCAAAAACTCTCCTTGTGCAATATCCAAGGGTCATAATGTGACACTTGACTGGTCAACGACATTTAATCATTTCATCCAGGAAGGGTATTTCAGCAAAGCAGAGACACTATGTTGACTGGGTATGCCTTAAGAAAAACCTATAAAATTGAGTGGACAGGCAGCTGGGTGTCTAGTCTTGGCCCTGCTATTGCTCTGTGATCTTGGGGAAATCATTTTGGAAGTCTTAACACAGTCGTCAACACATTTATGGGATGGAAACTCCAAACCCCAGGGATCACGTCTTGATGAACATCAGGGAGTCCTGGGAAAAGTCCTGATTGCGCTTTCATAAATATTTTTTTTTTTTCTTTTGTGCCCCAGCCAATGGACTGGCATGTCCCACCATGGTTACTGAACTTTTAGAGTTCTTGGATTTCTCACCAGCTTCGTACTGGCTCTCGCTCCAGAAGTTCAAAGCACCTTCCGAAAATGTGGATGCAAAGTTAGAGGTGAAGGAATGCACCGACCAGATGTCCGCTTTGGACAGAAACCAAATTAAAGCAGTACTGGTAAGGTCATTCTTTTACGCCTAGAGGCTTTTAATCCTCACGCTACCAGGAATGATTCCCTCAGTGGAGGAGACACTGTAGTTGGGGGGTACACGCGTCTTGCCGGTCTTTTTGTTGAGAAAGTTTCCTGGGCCACAGGAAAGATGCCAGCAGATCACTTGCTGAATGACGATCCCCTGCACCCAGCACTGTGGGAAGTTCCCTCTTTCCTGGATACCTGTCACAAAGGGTCACAAAGAATGACTCTCCTGTGACCACTGTGCCCAGTAGAGGCTCATGACTTTCCCCTTGCACATGGTGTCCTGAGGAGAAAGACAATCTAAGACCATCTGGTTCCCAGGCAGGAAGTTTCAGGGTCAAGTCTCGGTGCTTCCTTGGCTGGGAACACTCTGAGGGAGAGTTCTAGTCACCCCATGGGTCACAGTCACATGGACTGACCTATGGAGAGTTTGGGTATCTACAGGAGCGGGGGAGAAAGCTAGAAGTGACCACTGTCAGAGCTCTGTGTAGGGAAGGTGGGTTTCTTTGTCCGCTTGGCCAGATCTCCTGGGGCGCCTGGCGTCACCTGACAGCAGTGTGGACCTGCGTGCCCACCCAGCCCTTTCCTGGGTCTCAGTGATGGGACCCAAGTTGGAGGGAAAGGAGAATCCCACCCTTCCCCTCCACCTTCCACAGCGACTTGAGCCACACTCTTGGGTCACCTCCGTGTGGATTTGTCTGGCTCTGAGAGGTTCTCGACTACTGTGCACAGGTGGTTGAAAGTCCCCACAACTGTGGGCCTCGTGCTCCCCAACCCTCTCTCTCTGGTTGCCTTCTGCCCTTGAAAAGTGTTTTGGCTGGCAACCCCCGTGTTCCCCTTGGTGTGCTAACATGTCACCTCAGGAGCGGTACAGACCATCTCACCTTTCCCTTTTCCTCTCTTTGGTTCAATTGCAGACAGAAATTCTCCTCAGGAAGTGTACTCTGTGAAGCATAAAATATACTCCTGGTTCCACTGTCTTTCAAGGATACCCTGATCTTCGCTGTAAAATGTAGAGGTTTCAACGTCTTGCTTCAATAAATCACCAGCTCTGCACTTCTCTACTTGTCTTTTTATTATCCTTCAGCCTTGGGTCTTGTATGAGAGGGTCTTAATAAAGAACTTGTGTGTTACTTTTGGTAATAACCCATTCACATGCAATCCCTGTGGCCAACGTCTGCCTGAGCATCAGGCATCACTAAAGAAGATGTTTGTTCTGGAAACATCCTGTATTAGCGTGCACGTTGCCTATTCCTTTGGCCATGAGTTAAATGACGGGTCAGAAAGAATGACTCTCCTGTGACCACTGTGATCAGTAGAGGCTCATGACTTTCACCTGTCACATGTCATCAACCTCGGAGGAGTCTCTTGTCCTCAAATGCCGCCACCCCCAATCCATCATAAAACCTGTGATGAGGATGCAATGCCAGATTCGTGGGACCCCAGTAGACCTCCAGGAGCCAAATCTGATGCAATCACACAAGAGTCTTTATCGCAAAGCTCGAGCCTGGACTCACAACCGTTCCCCACGCAGCAGTCCCAGGGAGTGAGTCCTGGTCCTTTTGTTATAGGTTTTGGGGGGGATACTCTATGCGTCACAACATCACACAACAAATCATTCCATACCACGGGAAAATCAAACAACAACTCTTCACATTGATGAGCACACTCACTGGCGGGAACAAGTTGGGTAGGGGTGATGGGTTAGTACAAGAGGGGGTTCCTTTGAATTGATTGGTTTAAGCCACGAGGGGTGTACGAGCTGAACTACGTGGTTTCCCATCACGTTATCAACCACCATAAACTACTGGGGGGTCATCTGGCATCCCAGGTATTTTCCCTGTCTCATGCTGATTGGTGGTTGCTAGGGGGTTGCTATGGGTCCTCACCTAGCCTCACCTGGGACACCTGGCACCACAGATCTCTCCTGTTATTCACAGACAAACAACTCAGCAGGGAGGGTATGTGCTTAGGAGTGCTCTGTGGGTTTTTCCAAGGACACGGGTCACGCCCCCTTCCTTAGGACAGGCCTTAAGGTAGAAGCTGGTTTCTCAAAAATGGAGTCACATTAGTTTCTCAAGGACAACATTTGGAAGCAAAACTCCAGTGTTTCATGAGCTTCACAATGGTAAACCCTCAATGGCTCCCCGTTTTCAGGACATAGAGCTCAATTTTTAACATTCAGAAATCATATGATTTCTGGCTTTTCCCCCCTTTCTTTTTTTTAAATTTTTTTAGATATAGATTGACACAACACAATGCCTTTATTTGTATGTGGTGCCGAGGATCGAACCGAACTAGGGTCCGCCCATGGAGGCTCTACCGCTGAGCCACAATCCCAGCCCCCCACCTTTCTTTCTCTCCCTCTTTTCTAGCTAATCGACATGATATCCTACTGAGTTAGGGACTAGGAAAAAAGAGGAAAGAGGAAAAAGAGAAAGGTCTTCAATGACTTTTCCTGCTCTTCACTGACCCAGGTCCCCTGGGTCTGTGGGTGACTCAGCCTCATGGGACCCTTTAGAGAATGCTTCAGAAAGCTCACCTGAGATGTTGAAGTCTTTCTGTGGTTCGCCATTTATCAAAGAAAAACAAA